ATAGAAAAATACATTGTGGAAGACTGTTAGTCGTGGATTGGCCTCCCCAGAGCTCTGACCTCAACATTATTGAAGCAGTAAATGGTAAATGGTAAATGGCCTGTATTTATATAGCGCTTTACTAGTCCCTAAGGACCCCAAAGCGCTTTACATATCCAGTCATCCACCCATTCACACAGACATTCACACACTGGTGATGGCAAGCTACATTGTAGCCACAGCCACCCTGGGGCGCACTGGCAGTAGAGGATCATCTTAATAGAAAATTGAACAAAATGCAGAAACATCCAAAGGAGACCTTTGAATGTCCTTTAAGAAGCCTGGAGAATTGTTCCTGAGGACTGTTTAAGGAAATTATAAGAAAGCTGCCTCAGAGAGTTCAGACTGTGCTGAAAGGTTGTCACACTAAATATCAACTTTCAAGCCCAGAATTATTTAAACTCTGTGTTAAAAGTCCGCTTGTTCACTGTAGCTGTTTTATACTACGTTACCCATGATGCACCTCGGTATCTGTACTTCCTGTTGGGAACGTGTTCAGCGCAGCGCTGCACAGATGAGAGGTGTGTCGGAGGAGTAACGTATTAACGTGCATTCGGTGTGAGTTAATACTGCGTGCGTGCTTACCATGTGAGTATTGTAAGATGAGAGTGAGGCTTGTTGACTTTATCTGTGTAATTTGCTATCGCTAAGAGGCTAGTCCCATTGCTATCGCTAAGAGGCTAGTCTCGTTGCTATCGCTAAGAGGCTAGTCCCATTGCTATCGCTAAGATGCGTTTTGTTTGGCCTACTACAGGCAGCCTTGTGTTCAGCCCATATTTCATTCCATATACGACTTACTGTCAAGCATTGTGGTTGTAGGTGGATGTAACTATTTACTATGTTTATTCTCTGAATCGTTGCAATCTGCAGAGGTCTGGTTTGCCAATGTATATACAAGCCAGAAATTCATTTATGGTCTTAGGGTGCCATCTAGTGGCCATGAGGTTATGGCAGATTGTATAACATTACGCTGGAAACCCACAGTACTGTATAAGGGGTACACTGCTATCCATAGTGGTTAATACAAATGTTTGTTCTTTCTGTTTACAGATGACCACACACACATACCCATATACACACTCACACCCCCGTTACCTGCATGTGAATACTGTAATGCCTCCCTACCAACGCTGTACATCCTGTTGATGTCATCTGCCACCTCTTTAGTAAAGTTATTTGAACTACATCACTGTGGAGTACCATTCCTTCTGACCGAGGACGACTCAGTTGAAGCGTGATCGGCAATCAGTGCAAACATACATTACACTCTGTTTTCCCTGATATACTGCATTACTATGTATGTTTGCACATTTCAATAAATCATTGCACATATTTCCTCTTTTCAAGAGTTCAAAAGCTTTGCACAGTACTGTTTAATAGTACGTAAGTATGATATAATATATATATTAGATCTAGAAGCGGCACAGTGATGGACTGCATAGTTTCAATATGCAGAAGTAATACTGGTCCACATAGAAGAAAAACTCAATGATTAAAAGTGGGTCTTAAACTGACAGGTCATCATAAAAATGTAGTTTTATTTTTCTGAAATATTTTCTGTCGGGGTAGAAAAGGAGCAACAGTGCGCTGATACTTCACCCAAATCTTTGGAAAAGCCACATAGCAAAAAGAATTATGCGGGGAACAGCACCCTCTGGAGGTTATAAGGCAGAACTACAATTTATATCTGGTATTTGGTCAAGTGGTGAGTTTAAATATTCCGTGTATTTATTATTTCACAGAGGTGGGACCAAGTCATTGTTTTGCAAGTCTCAAGTCTTTATCCTCAAGTCTCAAGTCAAGTCTCAAGTAATGTCAGGCAAGTCAGAGTCGAGTCTCAAGTCAGTGGTGTAAAAGTCCGAGTCAAGTCACAAGTCTGAAACTTTGAATTTCAAGTCCTTTCGAGTCTTTAAAAAAAAAACAACGAAAAAATAATGTTGCAGTTATGCTAAATGTAAATATTAGACCATGTAATTTTAAAATCTGTGTTTTTCTCAACACATGACAAAATAGTGAACTTAGAAAATATACACAAATTGTGAAATTGCACCTCTTTAAAATGCAGCTCAATTAAACCTAGCTCCAAGAATAATTTTCACCGACAGTTCTGAGATAAGCTGCATGTTATTCTTGGATGCGGTTGTAGGACCAGCTTTAAAATCGCATGACAAAAATATACACATTAAAAAAAACTGTATCACCAACGTAGCCTGGACAACATTTGCTAGTTAGATGAAGTCAGCTATCTCATCTTAGCATATTTATATGCATATTTATAATTATACGGTTCTTGGAGTGAGTGCACACACTCATGAAGTTTAGTAACTTCAGGTCACTGCAACAAGCCCAGGTACAGTTTACCGACGGATGGGTGCAGGACCTTGAAATGCACCGTGTAGAACGAAAGACCATCGTACGTATCATAAGTTTACCAGTCTCACAAATCGTCGTCATAAATACACATTCCTTAACCGTTTATTAATAGGACCTTTGAGCTCAACGGTAATTAATTAGTAGTGGAAATAATTTCTGGTAGCATCACAGAAATGTAGCAGTGACAACAATATTGTATGCTGTAATCGCACTGGGCAATTAGTGATACAAAAAACCTGTTTTATCCTGTGAATAAAAGTATATGTTTTTGTCAATGTACCATAATAACAGAAGCGAAACGCAATATTGTGTCAGGACAATTCACTATTTATGCACAATAAATAAAGGAGCATAGCGCGACAATTTCTGTTCAGCGCCAGACTTGCTTGTAACCTATATCACCAATTATGTTATGAAAATGACGTATTAACTACAACAGCAGACTGACCTTTGTGGAAATGCTTGGAGCAGACTAACCTGTGAGCTGGAGTGTTCTGGGACGTTATATTTGATCTTTGAATGGCTGCAATCCAGGCCATCCGTTGCGTCTTTGTTACTTCGGAAACATGGCTTGAACAATTTCTCTTCAACGACGTAATCCGATAACAACCGATCTCTTTACCCGTCGGCTTCCCGTGGCTGTCATGCGACCGGCTATTGCAGTTAATAATACAACAGCTTCTTGACATTTTTGTGTTTCTTTTTATCGCTGTATAACTGATTTTAATTGAAAGCCTGCGTGCGCTAGTACCGCTTGCCACGAGTTCCCAGAATCCTTTGCGGTTCTACCCGTGAATGACGTCACATTTTCAATCTCTATATAATATGCATGTTAGATTTTATATTTGGGGTAAAATATCAAGTCTTTTCAAGTAAACCGGTTCAAGTCCAATTCAAGTCCCAAGTCATTGGTGTAAAAGTCCAAGTCAAGTCACAAGTCTTAGAACATTTTTTCAAGTCAAGTCTAAAGTCATAAAATTAATGACTCGAGTCCAAGTCATGTGACTCGAGTCCACACCTCTGTTATTTCATGTACGTATACATTTGTCTTTTCATAGTTTAGTGTCATTTTATATCTGTATTGTGTGTTTACTTTTGTTTTTCCATCAATTTGTGCTACTTTGTAATCTTTTAAAAATCTTTTTCCATTTTTACACCATTTTACATTACTAATGGAAGACTACCACACTTTGTGGTTCTTTTGATCCTTTTTGCTAATATAGTGTTAGTTCGCATCATTTTCTGTCTCTTTATTTGCTTATTACATTAACTCATAAACTGTTGGCTGAAAGTAGAGGAATGTGTGACTCATGACTGTACCAGCTTCTAGTTTTGTCCATCATCTTTATTTATGTATAGGTTTTACTTATTGCTATTGTTTAGTTTACTTGTAGCACATAAATTATGAATATTCAGTAGCTGTAAGTAAATAGGGGGGATGGGGGGACACCACTATTAATGAAAACTTTAAATACTTAGCTATTATTTGGTAATTTAAATAGTAAAAACTGTGTTACCTGTTTGGAAACAAAAAATGTTTTAAAACTGCTAGCTGCCATTTGAGTGATTAAAAGGTAAAAGTCACATGGGTGCTCATATTCATGTAAGGGTGACTGCTCCTGTCTCGTTAGTTGGAAGACTTCTGATCAGGGAACAAAATGTGTATTAAAACAGATCACTGGTACATAGAAAGTGGCATACAAAAAACCTCCAAAACAGCAACGTTTGCTCACACACAACAGAAGAATACCTTGTAGTTGGTGTTGCTTTAATCCCTGGAGATTTACACAACATGTGGGCGGAATTTACAGAGGAAAGTATGCGGGTAGAGTTTAAAGTCCACCAGAGGGGCCAGGTGCACCTGCAGACTCAAACTCTGTGCTTTCTGACCACTTTTTTTCTGAAAGCAATGAAAATCTGCTGGATTAAAGGCCTTTTTGTGTTTTCACATGTGCCCTTACTTCCGAGTTTTCCATGTCTGCAAGAATATTATGATGAAGTGGATCTCTTCCACTCATTTCCACATTAATCCTCCTCCTTTTTATTTCTGACTCCACTAGAGTAGCTAAAAAACATATTTATTATTGGTTACTCATTTATCTCAGCAGACGCCCATTTGGGAAGAATGCATTACACTGAGAGTTGCTATTTTATACACTGTAGGTTATCTAAACTACAGGAGAAGTGCAATGTTCTTCAAGACATTTCTGCTCTGTTGTTCTGCATTTTTGCCTTTGCTCCTGTGAATGTTGCTCCTAAGCTATTACATTAGGGATATCTGCTGCCTTTGACTTCACAGAGACTTTCTAGCGCCTGATCTTTGGCTCACATACTCATAAATATTTTGAACCTTTGGCTATGTTTAATATAAATATCCACCGTTCTACGGCATTTAAGAAAATATGGAAGAACATAAAGGAGGATGAAAGGCCTTACTCCCCTGGCAGCCCTTCAGTGTGCTGAAATCAGAGTATATGTTTGTAGATTATCTATTACCCTATCAGGAGTAAGTGTTCTTTCCTCCTGCATGTGCATTTACAATTTAATGCACAAACTTATAGTCTACGCCCACGTGTGACACCCCGCCTTAAACCCCGCCTCCTCTTCCTGGCTGCAGTCAACGGATCCAGTCGATGTCCATTAATTTAGGCCTTTACTAAAATTCACGAACAACAAGGAGAAGCGGTGGAAATAATCGTCAAGAATAAGAGAGAGAAACTTGTCTCCACAAAGCGAACAGGTGGAACTTTGTCACACCCTGTTGGAACTAATTCAGGAGAAAATCGTCTCTTCGTGATGTACGTTTCGAAGGTAACAGAGGACAGCGGTTATTTTTACATGTGGTACTTGAACGCAGCACGCTTCTATTAAACCAGTAGTTCCCAAATTTTTTTTGTTGGACCCCCCTTTGTTTTACAAGAAAAATATCCCCCCTCCCCTCCCCCCGCTCACGCACACACGCACGCACAAACACATCCTCCAACCACACGCACCCGTATTTTTCTCCATTGCGGTTTATTTCACACCTCAAACATTTAGTAAACAATTAAGCAAATACAAGTAATCTGCAGATAGTAAGAAAATAAACTACTAACTCTTTTACGCTGCGTCCGCACGTACACCGGTGATTTTGAAAACGCAGCTGTTTCGTCCACACGTAAACGGCGTTTGGAATCACCGAAAACTGAGATTTTTAAAACTCCTTTTTTGGGTTTATGTGTGGACGAGGAATACAAAGTTCGTCACGCAACATTAAAGGTGTGTGCCTTTTTCTACGTCACGCTGTGCGCCACGTTATTGTTTACAGGAGATGAATTGCAGAATGATAGCTAGTCAGATTAACAGTATTTTGTCTCTATCGTCAGGTTTTACACATGCAGTTACTGTCCCTCTATTTAGAAAGGCAGAGGCGTCACGGTGTAATTATTTTACATGTAGTTGGTTTTTTTCCCTGTGTAATAATATTCAACATTGCTATCAATACATTTTTCAAAAAATGCCTCTCTGTGCAAAATGGGTTTAAAAACATAAACAGCTGTGGGATACTGTCTGTCTCTGATTTGAACCGAGGGAACAAATCGTGGCAGGATCAGCCTGATATTATTTGTATCCCACTGTAACTTTACTGTATAAAGAGCTAATATCTCCAAAATGTCAGGAGTGGTTATTTATTACAGCAAGTGTTTGTGTACTAAAAATCAAGAATGTGGGATACTGTTTGTCCGTGATTTGAAGAGCCCAGCGCTGCTCCCGACGCAGGGAAAACCAATTCTGCAGGGGAGACCTAATTGGCACTTGTGCAGGTGAAACCAAACGGAAGATATGCTTCACCATATTTTCTAGTCTTTGGCTTAGAATGAAATTGGCTTGGGAACATATTCAGCTATGCTTCATCTCCTGCTTTGCGTTTGTGTAGGCGCCCCATGCTAGCAGTGTCCAAGCGTTGTTTTGTTTTTCCCTGTTCATGCCGCGCCGCCCCCGGGTGCGGGCCCCACACTTTGGGAAGGTCTGTATTAAACTGAGATTGGTTTTTAATATAATTAGGGGAGTTTACTTGGGTGGTGGCCCAACCGCTGACTTTTAGGGTGTAGTTGCACGCTGGGTCTTGGGGTCCTGGCTACATTCGGCTAAGCTAGCACGGACCTGCAGCCGAACTTTAACAGATAAAACGCTACCTTCAGTTAGGGTGAAAAGTTTATCGTGTTTCTACTTGTCAGACACAGAAATGAGCTGAGGTGTTTTAGCCTTAGCAGAGGGGCTCTGTGGTCTGTTAGTAGGCCTCACCCTCAGCAGCGTACTCCTACCAGCCGCAGGTGGATTTCTGCCTGACTGCTTTCTGTTTCCAGTGTAAGAAGGAAACAGCTCAGGCTTCCATCTGTAATTGAGACAACATGACTGTGTATTTCCTGTACGAAGTGTAGTTGGATGAGTTAAACACCTGGAGTCATCCAGCCAAAGCAATGGGTAGTGCTCAAGGGACCAGGGGCGGATCTAGAGAAATTTTCTTAGGGTGGCATGAGGGTGGCAAAGAAATCAAATGGGGTGGCAAAATCAAAGCCCTTTTTTCCCCCCCAAACACATGTGCAGGTTGTTACATATGGTTAAAATGATTCAAATGCAGTAAGTATACGCATTTTTCATATAAATATAGTCTACAACTTAATTACTGTCTGTAGCCCACATAATTAAACACTTTAGTTACATAAAACATGTGAGTTTTGATGCTATGTACTGTATAGCCTGTATAATAAATAAATATGTAGCCCAATAAGTATAAAATCCAGAAAGCTACACAACATTGAGTGGTTCATTTACAAACACACGTCTAAGTTTCACTGTTTTTTGTTAGAAAACAATCACATTGTTACATGTTAAATTACACAAAATGCCAGAAATCTGCACTGTCATGAACAAAAATTTAAACCTAATTTTTCATGATTGGTTGGATTAACCCACTGAGGTCTGAAATACAACCGGCCATTTTTGACTCCTTTTGAGTTTACGTTTGTATTTCACCATCAGATTGTTTCATTTTATTTTTTTCCCCTTGTCTTGTTTGGTATCTTTTCAGCTCAACTGAATTTAGTTGTTTTTTTCACTGACATACTGCATTAGTACTACTATTACTATTAATAGTACTATTACTGATCTGAAATCACACAAAGAACTTAAAATCCTAGTTGTATTTTTTTACTGTAAAAAAACCCCCACAGACATGTTGGGTAAATTTTTATAACTTGAAATGCAAATATAATATAATTGTACATTTTGTAAACATGCAACTATTTATCTAAAAATGCAGCCAATGCACCTGCTGTTTTTTTCATTTTGTGTAAGAATTTAAAAATATTACTAAAACTAAAATGAGAGAACAATCAGGTGTCGCACTATATGCACCACAAATGATGTGTGCCAGTAAAAAAAAGTTTCTCCACCAAAAGACAGAACAGCACAGGGATAAACCTGCAGGCCTGACAACAGGAGGTGTATCACTCCGCTGGTTTTCTACTCAGTGTTTACGTTGCAAATGTGCCTTTGTGACATTCATTAGTGCCCTCACTGACACACAAAACAAAACAACGACTACACAACAGAACAACACAACACACTAAGTAAACACTCCACACTAAACGTCACAACTCTCCCACATCTAAAAACTCTCTCTCTCTCCCTTGCTCTGTCTCGCTGCCGTTACCGTCACTCCTAAAACTTTTCCCTCTTCCTAAACAATCAAATCCCACGTGTTGACTTATTTTTTTTAATTGCATTTTTCCACCAATAAGAAAGAGATGGCTTTTTTTCTTTCTTTACTGTTTTCGCGCTGTCCTTAGAAAACGCTTAAAACACACACACACAAAAACATGACGACAGTATTTAGAAAAAAGCGTGGCTTATATACATTATCATAACTCTGGATTTACTGGCCTGTAATTAAAATTTAAAAACTTTAAAGTCTGAACTTTCAATGTGGGCTGAAATAGAGAGTCAGCGTGGCTGCAGCTTGTTGCTATGTCAGCTTACATCAGTCATGTGATTTGGAGGTGCAGTGTCCACAGAGGGTTAATAACAGTCACCTTCCTTCCATTTCCAGAGTGTAACATCCAACCACCTGTGTAAAAAGCGAAATTCCCATGGTGTTAATGAACTTTGGCCATCAGTCCAGAACATGAACTTTGAACATGAACCATGAACATGAACTTTACCCTGTCTGTGTTACTCAGTTGTCACAGTTTCTCTCCACAGACTGTTCTCAGCCATGACCCAGGTCGTTCCTCCGATCCTCTCCGTCACCCCGAGTCGGGCTCTGGTTGATGAGAAGTTTAAAGTGTTGGTGGAGAATCTTCCTCCGGGATATCCGGTAACCGTCCGCTCCCTCCATAACTCCGAGGACAAGCACGACTGGGAGGCTTACGGGCACTACGTCAGTGACCACAGTGGCGTCGTGTCAGGTGGGCTTCTTTGTTTTCCTTTTTTTTTTAAACTTACCAATACAAAAAAAAAAACCCAAGTACCTGAAAAGAATAATAAAGTAAACCATTGAACAGATGCATAAGAAGCTGACGTTAAAAATTATATTTGTACATTCACACATAATTGCTATAATCAAAGTCATATTTAGTTTGCCGTTTATGAAGCAGGAAGCATTGAATCCATTCCAGCTCCTTTGGTGTAAATCAAAGTGATGACAGGTAATCTGGAGATGGATACCTGCAGCTCATTTAGGTTGCACAGGTAGTCCAGCTGAAGGCTTCCTGTGTCCCAGAGTCTGACATAATGCAACAGATGTACTCCAGTGGGATTTTTGTTTGGTTTTTTTTCCTCTACATAATCTTTAAATTCAACCAAATACTTTTTGGTCTTACTTTTGGTATTACTATTACTTTTATTACATTTTTTTTTTAAATTTTTAACTAAAATCAGCGAGTGTTGTTGAAAAAGGTGTTTTACTTTTGATGTTTTTGTTGCACATGTTCTATTGAACTGTAAATGACATAATAAAATGTTATCTCACTTTTAATAAAGCAAATAAAGCGAAAAATAAATTGCTCCCCCCCCTTTGCAGTATCAGAAGACTTAAGTTACGGAGGCACATACACAGGAAAAGAGCCCATGGGTTTGCTGTGGAGCATGCGGCCCGTCCCGGGCAGCCGCCCAGGCCTCAGGTAACACATTCAATCTTCTAGTAAATCTCGTAGCATGGCTCTATAAATGACTTTTAATTACTAATTACTCAAAATTTGTACTCCAGGCTTTTTCCCCAGTGACATCATCGGTCTGCATTAAATCCCAAACAGCAAAGGTAGTCTGGACATACTTCTGTCCAGATGTGTTACATATCTAGATAGAAATTTGACGACTAATCTGCCAATTTTTCTCTGATTAATCGATTAGTCAACAATTATTTCAATAACTCTTATCACCTTTTCTTGTGGGCAAACCTCCTGTTCTAGGCTCCAGTACCTCACCTGCTTAAGACTGCCCATTTGTGAATATCACCCTGTTGTCTCATCCCACAGCAAATTAAAACAATCACTCATATGAATTTGAAAATAATCAAACGTATTTTTAACATTATTCAACAGGACTCTCAGATTAAAAACGAAATAAATACAAATGTTAGGTAATAAAGATTAAAGTGCTAGAAGTATTTAAAAAATAAAAATGCTAAATGGAACCTAAATGGGTTCTGCACATAAGTTCAGTTAAAGCTTCAAATTAAATAAAAAAGATTTTATTTTCCGGTCCAAAATAAAAAGTTTCCAGATAATTCAGTTCATGAATTCACGATTGCAGTATATGCTCTGGAGTGACGCTTGCTTTTGAGATGATGTTCCCAGCTGCTGATAACCATGCTGAAGATGCTCTCGGTAATGACTTCAGCTATTTGAGACATGCAAGAGCCTATGAGCTGTAAGACAGTGTAGTTACTCCTGTTTAATGGTTTACTATCACATTTCACTCATTAGCTAACAAAACTGAACTGTTTTGCTGCTTGCACTTCGCTCTTTGTTAGTATTGAGTGCAGTCTTGGCATATGATATAGGGAATACTTCCCCCATAGCTTCCTGGAGTGTATTGCAGTTACAAAAACACATTTACCCGATTTGAAAATATAACGCATCAACAAATTTTTATAGTCAACATAATCTATTATCGCAACTAATCGTTGCAGTCGTAGTGTGTTATCTGGCTTCATCGATGGATAAAGTTGTGGGTCATCTGCATAGCAGGAAAAATGCATGCTACGCCTTCTAATGATACTGCCTAAAGGAAGCATTTAGAGTGTAAATCTAATCAATGTGAAAACAGTCCCCACTTCTGGCAATCCAGTTATTGTGGCGTGAGTGAACTTATCAAAAGTTCCATGGCGATCTGCTGCACTTCCCCTGTCTCTGTGGCTGCCGTGCTCTGTCAGAAAATGACTAATTGCTGATGCAATACCTCTTGACAGTCCATTGATTTAGCATTGTGGCCTCACTCAATCCATTCGACAGCAAGTCAGCTACTTTGTTTGTTTTGTTATCTTGTTCTTAAGTGATGACGTATGAACCCTGCTTCCAGGTCCAAATTACTCTGCGTTTATTAAGGCTGTAGTGTTTTTAACATGTTTTAATGTTTTGTATCTTCTTCTATTTAATCTGAACAAGCCCCTAAAAAAAGTCAGTGATCACTTTCAGCCTCTCAGTTTTTGTTACCACTGTTCATTTTAATGCTCAGTTTTTAAAGCCTTACGATGTAACCACAGCCCAGCCTATGCAGCAGTATATTAATGACTAACCTCGAGTTGTGGATGGATTATTACTACAAACAAAAAAATCAATGGGAAGGGACATCTGAAGATGTCCATGTAGTAAGGTCTAAGATATGATGGGGCCTGATCATTCAGGACTTAATATATGAAGAGAAGGATTTTAAACAACTCTAAATGTCACAGGAACAAGAAGCTAATACAGTTAAATCTTCAGGGATCCTTGGTAGTTCTTATAAATGACGAGTCTTCCTCACACACAGAGTTCCACAGCAGGTGGCTCTCTCCATAGCAATCACAATAATGCCATGCTTTGTGATAGTATTGCCTAAGGGAAGCAAGTATTATGTAAATAATCTAAGGAGCTTGAAATGAAAAGAGCACAGTCCAGAGATGGCAAATTATTATCCGTTGTATCTTCCCTAGGGCTTAATACTCACCACCATTTGATCTTAGAACTGAAGAAGCTTCATGGATGAGAGGTGAAACATCTTCAGCACACCTAAAGAAGTTCAGCTGCTTTTCTTCCCAAACTCCTTAGATTACCATGATCTGGATGACAGAGAACATACACAGACCTCTAAAGTAAATAGTATTGGTCCTACTACAGAACCCTGTTGAACTCCATAACTAACTTTTGCTTGTGTAGGCTACTTTTTGTTTAATCTGTCAGGTAACTCATGTCATTATTGGCCAGGTTAAGGAAGATGAATGTGTGCACACCCATGCTGGTCACCATCTCGGTCCACAGTGGACACGAGGGCTTCAGGGACCAGGCCCCTCTAGCCTCAGTCCTCACAGAGAGATGGTACATGGCCCCTGGCATCCAGAGGATCACTATTAATGAGCAAGGAGTGCAAGGGACTCTGTTTATACCTCCAGGTACACCTACAGCACCTGTAATGACACTTTTATTCTCTTAAATACGTATTTTGTTGATTTTATTTTTTCAGAGTGGCTGGGGTTTTTCTTTCATAATGGTGAAATGTAAATTTAAAAAATCCGTTCTGCTTTTCCTTAAAATATATTCTCATATTAAACATGGCTAAAGGTAAAAAAATAAATAAAAAAATAAATAAAAATCAGCCTGTGTACAAGTAACATGTAAAAAAAAAAAAGCAAAAGCTCAGGCTTCAAGCTTCAAGCTGATCTAAATGCTGTGGCATTGAAACATGCGGGCAGGGCTTGTGTGCCTGGTGTGACCATATTAGTGAATTCCTCTCTTTCTGACAATATACAGATCCAAGAGTAGGAAAAAAATCCACCTGATGTCCGAGTTTTTAGCTCACAAGGATGACTTGAACCAAAGTAATTTTGTCCTGTTTGTCTGACTTCAGGTCCTGGACCGTTTCCTGGGCTGCTGGATATGTGGGGAGGTGGTGGAGGGCTGCTGGAGTATCGTGCTGCCTTGCTCGCGTCTCACGGTTATGTTTCTTTGGCGCTGGATTACCTCAGATTTGACCAGGAGTCTGAAAATTTGGAATTGAAATACTTTGAGGTTTGTGTGACAGGTCACCATCCAAAATTATGAATTAAGGCGTTCCAATCACTTTCATGGCCACAGGTGTATAAAATCAACCAGCTAGGCATGCACACTGCTTAATTAATAAAAGAAAATGGGTTGCTCTTAGGATCTCAGTGAATTCCAGCATGGTACCATTATAGGATATCACAAGTCCAGTTGTGAAATTTCCTTGCTACTTAAATATTTCACACTCAACAACCGCAACTTAGCCATAAAGTGGCAGGCCTCATGAAATCACAGAGTGGGGTCAGCAGATGCTGTGGCACCAAGGTTGCCAACTTTCTGCAGAGAGGGGATGGCCCCTTCTTGATCCTACGTGACTGTGCACCAGTGCACAAAGTAAGGTCCATAAAGACATAGAAGAACTGGACTGGCCTGCACAGAGTCCTGGCCTCAACCTGAAAGAACACCCCTGGAATGAATCGGAGCGAAAACTGTGAGCCAAGCCTTCTTGTCCAACATCAGTGTTTGACCTCACAAATGTGCTTCTGAAAGAGTGGTCAGAAAATTCCCATTGTCCCCTCTGACCATTAGACTTTTCTCCAGAAGGCATTTGTCTTGTTCATGTGGGCAGCTGCAAATTTCATTTGTTGGACTTGGACCCATTCTTTCCAGTATTGGTCAATTCAGTGAGTGCTGTCAAACAAATCCGTTTTAGGCTGCAAAGATAAACTATCAGTTGTAGTTAATCATGATAACTTACGAGAAGTTAAAAGGTCTTGACTTTGTCAAGTTAAAGGACACTCGAGAACTTTCAGGTCCACTTAAAAAGATTGAAGTAAGTGTATGTATGTATAGAAAACCCAAAATAAATTCAAACTTGTGCACCCATTTATTATTGTTTAAAGTCACGCATGTTGTACAATGATTCAACTCTGGCAAAAGAACAGTTCAAAGAATTCATTAAAAGCCCAAAATTACTCTGACATTCATGTCCATGATGAGTGTTTGTAAACTCCTCATTACATCTGTACTTATTATTTAATATTCTAATATTCTGATCTCTTCAGACGGCGTTTAATATTATTAAGGACCATCCTCAAGTGATGTCAGACAGAGTTGGAATTTTTGGTCTTTCTCTCGGTTCACTTGTTGCTGTCACCTTGGCAGTTTACAGCACCATTATCAAGGTCAGAGTGTGAGGGAAATGACTTCAATTTCCTCTTCTTTTACCTTTAAAGTAGACCTTAACCCACTGACCTCTTTCTTACTCCAACTGAGGTATAAATCAAATTTCGTAATTTGTCATTTCATTCCAGCCTTGTTGTATTGTTTGTATCAGCTCCAACCACTATTATCCAGCACAGGGGAGCACAGTCGCATCCAGGTTTGAAGGAGTAACCAGGTGGGTCCGTGTTTGTCGGTCCATTAAATTATTATTGCTGTTTCGTAATTACTAATATGTTATGACAGGCAGCTTTACAAGGCGCGTGTGAATGAGGACAACCAAGTGATCTGGAAAGATGTTGGTCTGGAGTTCATCACTGACCCCTCAAACATTGCCGAAGTGAGTGCTGGAATATACTGCAAACACCTGCATGTTAAATACCAATACAAGTCAGTGCTGGACCTGTTTTATTATTTGTAACATTGTTGTAAAGGTGTTTTTTGTTGACAGGTAGGCAGAATTAACTGCCCGACATTGCTGGTTAACGGCTGTGATGATCAGAACTGGCCCACAGTGGAGACGGCGGAGGATGTGAGGTCACACACACTCACACAAATGCTGTTTATGAGAGTGATGGATGTCAAGAATACTGGAAAGTTGGCAGTTCTTGTTTGAGTATTGTGAACATTGAACAAATATGAATGTGAACATTAACATACAGTTAATTTAAGGTTGACCTCTGACCCTCAGGTAGCCAGGTTGATGCGTGAAGCTGGAAAGGAACACCTGTTGAGCAGATTAGCATATCCGGACACCGGACACCTGATTGAGCCACCGTTCTCACCTCATTTTAGGGCTACGACCTTTGTCATACACAGCAGTAAAGAAAAAGGTCAGATTCCCACACCTGTACAAAGGCTTTGGCCTCACATCCTGTTTCTTACCTTCTTACAGATTCTGGTCATAATAACAAAACTTCATCAAGTACTATAATACACTGCTCAAAAAAGAGAGTATAGCATCAAGTCAAACTTTTGGGATATTGACCTGATCAGTTAAGTGGTAATTAAAGACTAAATGAAGAACGGTGTACTAGACAAGCAACAATGAGACAAACAGGAATGGCTTTACAGGTGGAGACCACGGGTATTTTATGCTCCTACTTAGTGACACCAGTTACAGGGATGTTTAATCACTCTGACCTTTTGTCTTTTTAACTTTTTTTTCAGTAAAACAGCTGCAGCTTTATAGCCTTTGTACTTTGTCATCAGTTAACTTTGGAGTTGGTACAAAAACCTCCAAGATTAAATAAGTGTATTCAGCATTAAGAGGGAACATATAGGGTATCACTGGGTGGTGTTGAGGTCTGAATCTGAGGGCAGCTCCTGTAATCACAAAGAGAAAAGCATCATCTCAAACTATCAAAGTTTATCCCTCAAATCTAAAATAATAAATAAATCTTGCCAGTCCTCACACACTGATCGGAAGTTCTGCTCTTAGGTTTTTTTTTACTTACCTCTGACAGCTGACATGGGAACTGTTCAACATAGGCAATAATTTATATGTTATCTAGTATAATATTAACCTTTGAGTGGATGGTGCTTTTTAAACAGAGGTCTGCAAAGATACCTGGGACTCTCTGATCTTAGAACTGAAGAAGCTTCTCGGGTGAGAGGTGAAGCGTCTTCAAGAAACTTAAAGAAATCCGCTTTTCTTTCCAAACTTCTTAGAGTACAATGACCTGGATGAATGAGAACCTTCACAGACAAATCGACCTCGTTTCCTCAGCGCAAATCTTGTGGAGCTTGTGTTTATCCTCAGAGCGACTGATGTCATTTAAAATTGATAAACGAGATTTAAAACGAGGGAGTAATGGACACCAAGCAGCATAGAAACAGGCTGTAAGCTGAAAGAGCCAGGCTGTAATAATCTGTTTCTAATGCTCTATTTTTCAAAGTAAGACGTGTGGCTTAGGTTGTTTAGAGGACTTTGTGCTGGGCATTGTCTTAAAATAAGATAAGATAAGATAAGATAACCTTTATTAGTCCCACACGTGGGAGATAAAAAAATGGAGATAAAGAAAAATGTATTTTTATTTGCTGAGGTGGCTGTAGTGGAATCACCAATTTCTAAACTGCTAAAAACAAGTCTTTGTCTCCTAATGACATTCGGGGCATCCTGAAATAATTTATTATATCAACGTAGAACAAAACATTACAAATAAATTTACTCGAGCCTATACTCCATAACACCCGATTGATTATTTAATGATCTCCTCTGTGTTTGTCACAGTCTTCACTGACTGCCTTTGACTGTCACTACAGTCACACCACTCGTCACATCGTGAGGGGAGGATATTTGGTCATTTGAGCAGATCGGTTGCAGGACTATATTACTGAGGTACACGGGTACCAGTCCATGTGCGTCATTAACTCTGTATTGAATGCAAAAAGCCCAAGTGCTCATTAAAACAAAACGTGTGCCAATAAAGTACTCTGTCCATTGATCCCTCCTTTTAAATATGTTAAATCGCATCAGTCAGGGTAAACACAAACTCCAACAGATTTGTGCTGAGGAAATGAGGCATACTTGCTTATTTTGTGCTGAATATTGTGAAACTGATTATCACCAGTTAATGTGGGCGGATTCCTGATTTTATGTTACAAAAACACAGATCTTTTTTTTCCCTTTTTTTAAAAAAACAAACCAAAACAATAATTTCATTGTTGTATGAATGTAATTTTGATAGATATATGCATTTGCACAAGATGGAGACCTTTATATTCCAGCATCTTTAATAAATCAAACCATATGACACACTGTCGGACAGATGACCATTCAGTGAAAATAACGAATCAACACGTGAGGCATCATTCTGAACACGGAGAGTAGAATACGTAAACAAATCTAATCGGTTAAGGTAAAAGCCTGAGCACTGACTACTCATCTTAGCTAGCTAGCTAATGACATCATTACTGATTCGCTTACAAACACACATTTGACTTAAGAAAAAAGTGCAACGGTACTGCTGGTCCTTCCTTCGATAAGTCCAGTTTGCTGCAGAAAACGTCAGACTGACAATGGACTGTTCTTTATTTGTAGTTTGACGTGTGTGTGTGTGTGTGTGTGTGTGTGTGTGTGTGTGTGTGTGTGTGTGTTGCAGTGCTACTACTGTGGGGAGGAAAGACCAAACCTCACTCTGATGCTCAGGAGGACTCCTGGAGGAAGATTTTGAGCTTTCTGCAGTTTCACCTGTACTGTGGCCCATGTCTCAAAGCAAAGATATGAAAAGGTGCATGATGCTGCTCAAAAAATAAATACATCATGTGCCTTTTTCAACCATCCATGAATTCAAATTTTTATGGTGGGACATCAACCAAACTGTTTTTCTTGATTTGTATCTAAAAACTAATTTAGCCCATTTGAGGCCCCTTTGTTAAAGGCCCACTTTCCTCTGATTGGCTAACTTCTGGAAGCCAGCTGAGGGGTAGCACCCATAAATTTGTTAGACAATGTATGTTACAGATTTTTACAGATATCTATAATTTTCCCTGTTAACTAAAAATAGCTCACTTGCTTCCCAATAGAAAACCTGTTTGGTTAGATTTATAAAAAATTATGATGTTTTTGGGTTAAATTGTTATGGTTGAGTTTTGGTTTCCCCCGGCAATGCAATTCAAATCATGCTCTAATATGTTACAATAGCATCACTGATGCCCAGATTTGACATATTTGACAACATAGGAAAACACGACAAAAGTTAGAATATATTTTTAATTTGGATTTTTTCGAATTCCATGGATTAGACATTTTATAATTCAAGTGGCAAATAACGAGTCTCATCTGTGTTTTGTTCTGTAAGATCAACAACCTACAGTGTTAGGTTTTGTATTGCTGATTGTCATTTATGCTTAGAGTTTTATAATTAGTTTTAGATTGGTAGAGCTTTGATCCTTAATAGTCTGCAAACTTTGTGTGCATTAGAGAGCACTCTGGGAGCATGGGAGAGGTCGTACCTTGTCTTATTGTTTTATGGTAGGATAAACGTAGCTATATCTGTTTTAGGCTAAGTGCCTTTTGTTTAGATGAACTGCTGGACTTCCAGACCAGCAGGTTTAGAGAAGTCATTTATGGGGTCACACTCTGACCCCACACACACACACACACGCACACACACACACACACACACAGGCAAGGTACTCTTTGTTTGTATGTAGACGTAATATGTTAATGAACCTATGTATATTCATGTAACCCCAATAAAAGCAGTGTTATGGGGGAGCGGACAAGAGCGACTGGGGTCAAGCGAAGGAACGGCGCTTGTCGTGGTTGTCTCCCTCATGCATGAGTAACACGAAGAACTTTGCCTACTTGGTGTTTAATGCTTTTTGCTGTGTAGTTGAATTGTCCTCAACGTTCCAGCGAATAGGTTTATGCTACAAACCCATCATACAGTATTAGAGAGAAAACCCCAGCTATCAAACTATCCTGTGTGAGCAAGCACTGGGCGACAGTGAGGAGGAAAAACTCCCTGTTGACAGTAATCCAGATGGTGGATGTGCTTATTGACATATTATGTACTGTCTCCCTCAGTAGATTCAATTCAATTCAATTTTATTTATATAGCGCCAAATCACAACAAAAGTCGCCTCAAGGTGCTTAGTCGCAATTAACAGCAACATTTAGATGCTGTTAAATGTTTTAGTTGTTATTATGCATTAAACAGTGTTTGTTGATCTTGGAAGCTTCATTCACTCAGAGGTGTTTTTTATTTTTAATACAGGCCTCAATGTCTCTTTGTGTATACTTATATACTCAAATAACACCAAAAAAAACAACAACCTGGGGGCTGGCTTGGCCCTCGATCTTGACACCAGGAACTGACTTCCAGTGAAAGCTTTCACTAATGTCATGTTCCTTGATATACAAATGCCAAGTAACTCATCAGCCTCTCAGAATACTGAGAAATGTTAATTCAACACCAGTGAAATTACATTTATTTTTATAAAATGTGATTACAGTTTAAATATGGAGGGCCCGGAGTGTCAAAATGAATTAATTAAATACGCCATTAAATAATTGTTTCATTAATTAATTAAAATTATATTTAAATGAATATTTCAATAATTAAATGCCCATTCATTTTATTTAAAACATTTAATAAATTATTTATTCAAATTTAATGTAATTAATGACACAATTCATTACGTATTTAATAAATAACACATTGATTCTTTATTTTACATTTTTATTAATTATTGAAACATTTAATTGTTTAATGATGTATTTATTTATCATTTTGCACTTCTGACCCTGCCGCTATGTTCTTGAATTTATTTTATCTGTCAGCCTCACTCGTCAAAGTCTAGATAATCAATTGCTATGACCTCGTGGTAGTGTGGACTTGGGGCAGCCAGGTATCCCAGAATGCATTTCAAAACACAAGCAGCACTAGTGGTGGTGTCTAAAATGTAAGTTTTATTAGGGCAGGTTGTCAACATAGAACATGTTTGTAGTGCTCTGATGTTTTCAGTCGCTAGCTTTGCTAACAGTCAGCTGACAGAGTGTACCAAGCTCACAGCCCCGGGACGTTTCTCGGTACTCAAGTATGCAAGTCTGTACCCGTGTTTTCACTAGTCTGTACTTCTGAACTTCAAACGGGAGTCCAGACTTCCCGAGAAAGCAGCCCAATCATTCTACAATTGGAAGGCAGTGTACTTGATGACATCACAACTCCAGAGTTTTTACTGCCATCCCCCCTTAATTTAACTGTGATTAATATTTTCAGTTGGCAAAATTTGCTTTTACATGTTATCTGTTTATAATGTCTAATAAATGGTAAATGGCCTGTATTTGTATAGCGCTTTACTAGTCCCTAAGGAACCTAAAGCGCTTTACACATCCAGTCATTCACCCATTCACACACTGGTGATGGCAAGCTACATTGTAGCCACAGCCACCCTGGGGCGCACTGACAGAGGCGAGGCTGCCGAACACTGGCGCCACCGAGCCCTCTGACCACCACCAGTAGGCAATGGGTGAAGTGTCTTGCCCAAGGACACAACGACCGAGACTGTCCAAGCCGGGGCTCAAACCGGCAACCTTCCGATTACAAGGCGAACTCCCAACTCTTGAGCGACGATCGCCCCTAAGCTTCATACAGGTCAGCACAATCACTACATGACAGAATAACAAGTTTAATCTCTCTTAATAAAAATGGTATAGAGCTATACTGCTTCTTGAATAAAAACAAACAGGTTAGGATGCTTTTATTTTTATTTTAGTAAACACTCAAACCTACAATAGACTTGGGAAAGAAGTGAACAAATATTTAAAACATGATCATTTCTGGAGCAGCCTTCAGGATCTGCACGTATTAACCTCCCGTTTCTATTGTGTCTCAAAATGTTTGCAGCAGACAGCATAAAGCCAAATAAATAAAGGTGTCACTTACAGACACTACACCCCAGTGACGCTGATAAGCCACTTGAGTTTTTTCAGCAAAAACATGCCGAATATTGCCCACAATCATCCCTCTTTGTGAAAGCTACTTCAGTAAACCAGCATTAATAAAGTTTTTCTTTCTTTTAAGTTTTTGTTTTTGTTTTCTTTAATGTTAATAAAGATACAATGTTATGCAGAGATGTACTTATAATAATAATTTTGTAGTCAAATCTGTTTATAGTTTTCTTCTTCCTAAGCGGAGCGTAACAGAAAATAACTTCTTTTTTTTTAAGTACTTTAAAATTCATTATATACAGATAGCAGTTTAGAACAGGATTGTTTAAGCACTAAGGGGCAATAAGAAACTACAGAAAGAGGTTGACCCTAATGCAGGCTTCTACAGTTTTAATTGTTTTGGGGTTTTCTGAAGCGTTTCTGGATATAGACTTTAGCCAGATAAATGTTATGAATTAATTTAAATGAAACTTGTTTTGTTATCCTATGAGAGGAGTTTACCATTTCATTAAATAACTGAGCCACATGTGTAATATTATCAAGAAACCAGTATTCCAAAAAGAGGGATTTGTGTCTGTATAAAATGTCCTTATTGTTACACAAATTATGTTTATAGATGAGATTCCATGACAAAAAGGCCTGGTGAGGAAAAGCAAATATCTTAATTGTGATTTTATCAATGTCATAATTGCATATTGTTTAGATATCAACAATGGAGGGGAGGGGAATAACATTCTAATTGGAGTTGGGCTATTTTTGTAAATATTGTAGCGAATTAATCTTAAATGTATTATTTAAATAGCTAATATCTATAAAATGTAGACCACCTTTATCATATCCATTCATGAAAACAGGTTTTCTTAAATAATGAGTCCTATTTCTCCACACAAAGGTAAAGAGCATCTTGTCAGTGTCATTTAAAAGTTTTTTCTCCACATGGAGAGGCAGAGCTGCATATGTTAATCGTAATGTTCCCTCCACTTTGGTAATCAGAACTCTTCCTTTTAAGGAGGGATCCACTGGTTTAGTCTACTTTGAGTTTTCTGGATGATGGGTTCCAGATTTATGGATGCTCTTTTTTGTTGATCCTTGGTAATTATTATTCCTAAGTATAGCACTTCATTTTTAATTTGTATATTACAAATAGATGTACTGGAACATTCCTAATTTCACACTTGTTAATATTCAGATCTAAGCCAGAAGCTCTAGAGAAGACTTTTACAGATTCCAGAGCTGCAGAAATTTGGTTTGGTTTCTTCAGAAAAAGAGGAGTATCATCAGCCAGTTGAGTGATGATCAGATTTCTGTCCAGCAGAGAAATACTTTGAATTTTACTGGATCTAATATGGTCTGCTAAGAATTGGGCAACTCGTAAAAAGAGTTAGAAAGAGGCAAGGCATCCTTGTCGAATGCCTCTTGACAGATCAAATCTAATCTAGGACAAGTTCCACCGCTTAGTTTCACTGAGCTATTACCATTTCTTTATAGACTGTATAGACTTTATAGTTCAGAATAATCTAGAATGTCTAGTAATAGTCTTTTATTGTTTGTTATCTTTTAGGCATAAAACCTGATTGTGTTTCATCTATGAGGGAATTCAGGACCATTTTGAGCCTCTATGCTAGAATTAGGGGGCGCCAGTTATCTAAAAGTAACAGAAAATGATTGAGAAGCACTAATCCAGTGACTGTTGAAACATTTTCCCTGTCACGTGTCCTAGAAGTCATCAAACCTGTTCTGACAAAACGTCCTACTTTGGCAAAACGGCCTACCGTAAGTAGTTTATGCACATTTCTGCTGTCACAGAGTAATTCCAGCACAAATGTAAGTAGGTATGACGGTTTGCCACTTAACTTTGCCCATCAGAGTAGGCTTGTAGCTCACATTCATAAAGCCAGGATGGTTTGCCACTTCATTTATATAAGTATGCTTGTAGGTCACATTGTCAAAGGTAGCATGGTTTGGCACGTAATTTTACCCATCAGAGTATTTTTCTAGCTCTTATTAACAAAGGTAAGATGATTTGCCACTGAATTCTAGCTGTAAAATTATGCTTCTAGCTCAGGGGTGTCAAACTCCAGGCCTCAAGGGCCGGTGTCCTGCAGGCTTTAGATCTCACCCTGGGTCAACACACCTGAATCACATGATTAGTTCATTACCAGGCCTCTGGAGAACTTAAAACATGTTGAGGAGGTCTTTTAGCCATTTAAATCAGCTGTGTTGGATTAGGACACATCTAAAACCTGCAGGACACCGGCCCTCGAGGCCTGGAGTTTGACACCCCTGCTCTAGCTCATATTAACAAAGGTAGGACGATTTGATACCTAAATATAGCTGTTAAAGTATGCTTGTACGTCACATTTACAAAGGCAATTAATTTTACCCGTCAGAGTATGTTTGTAGCTTATATTCACAAAGGTAGGACGGTTCGCCACTGAATTTCCAGTGTTGCCAACTCCT